TGGGTCGGGCAATGGATAACGGCTCGGATTTCGAAATCGGAGAGCTGAGTTCTAATTTCAGTCGGGTTTGTTAAATTTGCTTACGCGCAAATACCTTTGGGACAGGTATGAATCAGTCTCTTCTCTCCCTCCAGATATGGGTTAATTAGCAGAACTTGTATGGATAAATCATCATGTTCAAAAAATTCTTACAATCAAAAATATTTTCTGTCTTTAAATAAACTGTAAAATGTTGATAAGCCGTAAAATCTAATCAATCAACACCCACAGAATTGGGGTTTTTTTTGTTTTTTTTTTGTTTTTTTTTTGTTTTTTTTGGTTTATACTGTATCTATGCTGATCGAACCATAGTTTTGTGACAACCAGTGGATAGTAACAAGCCAAAAAATTCGAACGTAAAATCGACACTCTCGTCAAAAATCGTTATTGGAACTTAACTTTTCTGATATAACGTGTTACCGACAGTTGTGATATGTATATGTAATATTTTATCTTAAAAATTAGGTGATGAGCAGGAAAACTCACAAAATTCTTATAATCCAATATTTTTGGGATTTAAATTAAATTGAATGGTTGAAAAGCCGTAAAAAATCATCACTCATTCAATCCATTTTGTGCTATCCATTAATTCAAATTCGTTAAGTAGGTTTGTGGTTATCTCTAAACTTTGTCTAATTTTCAATATTGCTATCAATCTTAAATTCTTCAAACTATATTTCTTCATTATGCATCTCAATCATTTCACCAATTTCTGATTGTAAGTATAGGTGTTGTAGTCCTTATCTTCCTCGTTGCTCAGATGTTTTCTTCATGTTATTCCTGGCATTTGTCGCTATACTCAAATCACTTAAGCTTTGAAGAGAATATCCGCTATTTATTGCCAACTAGAAGATTAGATATTATCTAGAAGTTCAGGTACGCTTTATTTAATTCTAACAATATTTTCATATCTCTTAATACTTTGCTTTGGTTCGTGAAGACATCTTTATTTCGGTCCGTATTCATTTTTCTGTCATTTTTATGCTACACTGTTAATTTTTGCAATACGTGGGCTCTCGCTCTTGCTGAGAGCAGTGCATTAAATTCTTTTAAAGTTCGTCTTGTCGTTTTCTTTTACTAATATATCTAGATTTTCTGTTTATATCTCGGAGATGAGGTATTATGATTACTTGCATTATTTACATTACTTTATTCGGACTGCTATCCTCATCTGTAACGCTATATTCACGACGTTTCAAGGACACGTGGTTCAGTGAATAAAGACATTGATTAGATCCAATGACTTGACCTAAAAGAGTTGTGAGTTCAATATAAGGCCATAGCAGTTGTGAACCAAACTTCAAGCGTTGAGTTAAATGGAAATAACTGAAACACCCGAAAGAGGCATGACACATGGAACTAGAACAATCTACCCCGGTGGACGAAATAAAGGGTTCGATTCGAAATTACAATCACCTGAAGAAAGCCGGAGCGTACAACCGCCGAAACGTTGTGAATATGGCAATGAAGATGAGGATAACAGTCGGAATAAAGTAATGTCTAATTTTCTCTCAGAGATAACAATCAACACAGTATCATCAGCGTAGCACATGTATCAGTTTTACTTCAAAATAATTTCCGTTTTAGTTTACTAACTTTTAAAAATAAAGTACAATTATATTTTATTCAGTTTTATATAGGCCATTGTTTGCAATGACGTGTTGTTAGCTGTCGGGTAGCTCTTCGATATTGCTCGAGAAAATCCCGCATATTTAGATGTGAAAAAGGTTTCAACGAACTCTTGAATCTGTTTTTTTCCTCAGAAAAAGTCCCCCCTCCCATCAAAGTGTTTTGCAGCGATCGAAAAAGGTAGTAACCTGCTGCTGCAGGGTCAAGTAAATATGTTGGGTGGGGTAGAGCGGAGTTTCAAAAATAAAACCAAGTTGTTTTTTTTTTTGTTTTTTTTCTGTTTTAATCTTGCTGTATGCAGTCTTCTGTTATGTATTTTTTCGACAAGCTTTTTTGAACAAACATTTCTTGATCCGTTCCAACAGCTGGACCTGTTCGAAATAAAGAATACGACGACGATATTTACCTTACCAGGAATCTCGGTTTTACGTGTCGGTTGTGTAGATTTATGCTTTTCAATCCACTGCATTTTGTGTTGGATGTTGTTATATGCTATCCACTTTTCATCAGCTTGAGAAAGAGTTAGTTTAGATGATATATTTGTCATCATAATTGTTTCCCCAAAACAGAAACTACTCTGAAGTCAACATAAAATTACGATTATTGTCGCCCATAGTAAAAAAAATAGACTTTTAGTTTACATGAAATCAGTTTGATGGACAAGTTAAATAAATCCCGTGTGAAAAAACATCATTGTCCCGGTTTTTGTTTTTTTTTTCCCTATTTTCGTGAATTGCTCAATTCGTTATCTTTCCGTATACAATCCTTTTTTTCTCAAGAACTGTTACGGATTAGTCTATTTTTCCTCATTCACATCAAGTATTCCTTGCAATTCAAATGCATGTGCTTGTAATTTAATTAATACCTGAACAAAGTATCATTTTACAGGTTAATAAGAAATTCTATAGTGTCCATCATTTTCCAATCACATGCAATTCTTTCAAGAGTGGAATACAAATTTTTAATTCAAACAATATCTGGAAGCGATTCCATTAAATCGTGTGGTGTGGCCGGAAGCTGTCAGACGTTGGAAGACTAATGAGAAGAAAATTTTGAAAAGTTACACATATGAAGTAAATAAGACGGATTAATATCGGACAATTTCTTATAAAAATATCATTTTTTATATTAAAATGTGACGAAAATAAAGTTGGCCCACGAAATACACAGAATACTGAGAATGTCTAAACATAAAGTTCATTGTGTGAACCTATGCGATTATATTATGTACAAATAAAGGATATGAGCATGTGTGATATTCTTCCCGTCTACAGGGAGCGATGTATAAATTGTCATCTAAATTACTGATGTAATGGGATAACCTGTCACCCCCATGAGTGACTACACTATAGGTAGTAACTTCCTATGAGTATCTGTAAGTCAACGGACTAAAGATACTAACTGGAATCTTATCAGCTATACGGTCAAACTCTCTATCTTAGGGCAGAGAGGAACCCAGACGAAGCTATGTCGAAGGGCAGATTCTCGTCTGGGGTGGTAGACCGACCCGTCCCCGTTTTTACGAGGTCTACGGGTAATTTTTGCCCGAGCATACGGGCTCGGATACCCAACATTAAATTCGGCCTAGGGCCACATCTGACCGCGTGGGCGGTTGGCAAATATCCTAGCTGGAATCTTTTCCAGCTGTGCTGCCAAACTCTCTGCTTTCAATCAGAGAGGAACCCGGACGAGGTTTTGCCGAAGTACAGAGTCTCGCCCGATTAGGTAGAGAGACCCGAACACGTTTATGCGGGGTCTACAGGAATTTTTGGCCGAGGCTACGGGCTCTGATTGTCCCACATTAAATTCGGCCTTGTGTCGCATCCTACCTCGTAGGGAGGTTAGTAAATATTACTAGCTGGGATGTGTTGAGTACGACTCAGACTTACGCGAGAACTACAGACCTTCCAATAGTAGCACTCACTACTGGATTGACTTGCGATGACCTTGTGCATAACTGTTACCTTTATTCTTACTGTACTGTTTTGTTTTTTTTGTTTTTTTACAATAAACCTTTACTTATTTTATCCACCTTGTTTTTCAAGTATATATTCCTATGAGTACGGATTATAACAATTACGCAAAAATGAAAATAGCACTAGCATCTCATTTTAACAGATACATTTGACAAAATTATCTAGAAATACTAAAGAGTAAATTTATTGAATAAAATCGAGACTGGCTTCAACCACGACTTCCAGACAACTTCGAAATCTCCTGCAACATTTCTAGACAGTCTCGTAGTTGACTAAGGCTGCCATAATCCTTTTGCCTTCAGTTCATCTTTGGTGATATAAATAGTTTTGCTGGTCTCTTGCACAACTGCGCCCCACATATAATAATGTAAGGTGGATTTGCAATCTGGGGTGTTAGAGGGGTAAATTTAAGGGATGATGTAGTCGCAAAAATTGTCTGACAGCCATGACTGTTTTCTCCTGATTGTGTGATACTGTGCAGTATCCTGTTGCCAGAGACCAGCAAAGCTAGGTACTCCTCACTGAGTGCCCCACAAGTATGGGGCACTCAGTGAGGATCGAACTCACTACTCAGTTGTAACTGATGTAGCAAGAAAAATCTATCTAACCATTACACCACGTGGAGGTGCCCAACTTTTACTAGTATACTGTGCAATCGACAAAATCTAAAACAACGCGCATGCGTGAAATTAAAAATATGAAATGGCGATAATTTACCCATCGCCACCTGTATATTCGTCCCTGCATTGAATACTGTTGCCATATGTGGTGTGCTGCTCCTGCTGTGTCGAGATTCTTGACAAAATTCAAAGAAGGTTTTGTAATAACAAGGCATCTTGACTTCAGTCATTTTTTCACTGACCTGACATGGCTTTCTTCTGTTTTTTCTACAAATATTTTCATGAAAACTGTTCTGAGTAGCTTTTTTGCTTCGTGCCTCAATAATATCAATTTAATCCTGCTACTATTTTGGTAACTAGGTTTCACCATTTTATTGCTGAACTAGCTAGATGCAGCCGCCACTTCTATTTTAACACTTTTCCCCTGAGGACCTTCCCTCTGGTTTCTTAGTTCCCTGTCACTGACAATCGTCCAAAATTTAAATGCGACGTCAATGATTATCTTCTGTATTCTCAAACCGTGTTCCTTTATTGTCCTTCCGTCACGACTCCCCACTAAAATATTCTCATTCTGTTTCACTCCCTGTAACACCCTACTGTCTAGTTTCATCATCGCCTTGCTTTGGGTGGGGGGTAAGGTTAAACAAAAAAAAACACTATTTACGGAATTAAGAGATTTACTTGCGTCACTTTCCGTTTTTATAGAGAAGAACTGCATTTTTAAGTAGGATGATAT